GGTAAGAAATTCTGCTTAATTTAAACATTTCTTATTTCTTAAACCTGTATGTCTTATACAAGTCTTAATTACTATATTTGATTATCACTTGATTACAAGTGACTGAAATATGAGGACTAGATATTTTAAATTCTTATATCATATTTTATTGTTTTATATTAAATATTTGTATTGTTTGCTTATTTAGTCAAAATTGTACAAATATTTTCTACAATCTGTTTTTAAAGCAATCAATCACTAAAAAAGTTATTTCTGTATTTTTTGGTAAATGAAAATATGTAAGAATTGTTTTTAATTATAAATGTATAACTAACATAATACAAAAATTATTATTGAATATTTACTAAATAAGTATGATTCTGAATTCTATGAGACATTCTGTCATAAATAAATTAATTGTATATTTAGTGAATCTACATAAAAAATCATCTAAATATCATACAGATATTTATAATTTCCCCTTTGAGCGCATAATTATGTTTTTACTCTCAAACTTAAAGATTAGTTTTCTATAATTTTGTTTTAAATTAAGCCCAAAGGGATACAAAAGAAGTAAATATTGCAATAATATTGAAAACGAGTTGAATTATAAAGTGAAATATGAATGCTTAAAATGTAGACCAATTGTCAATTATTATGAAAGTTAATCAGCGATGCATAGAATGTGAGGCAATGAAATAATTATCAATGTTTTGCTACTACTTTAGAGGCAGTGCACACATACCAGGGTAAACGTATTCAGCAGAATATTGCACAGAATATTCTATGAATGCAGTTATTTGTGGCCCAAATCGTCATATCATTGATTCGGCAGAGAGTCGACCGCTTCCGCAATATATAGGCGTTTCACTCAAAACAAGGATTAATCGGTTATTGCAGTGAATTGCAAAGTATTTGCGCACTAATTGCTGTACTATTAGAGACAATATACGAGACAATAAAACAAAAAGTTTGTGATACAAATGTTATTTTTTGTCTCGGACTAGAATAGCCTAGCAACATTTAAGGCACGAATGATTTTTATATACAGTTTAAGGATTAGATCCACAATTGTTAGTGCAGTCCATCAATTCATACAAATATATTCACAAAACAAATGTTTAATTAAAAAGATATGAGAAATATTGAGTTCATTAAAGTTATTAATATCGATATTCAATATTCTCACAAAAAGTATGAATTTATAGCAATTCATGAATTGATTGTTGAGTTGGAGGCAAATGTATGATGAGATGCCGCGGATCTAATTCTTCGTGGCATCTCTTCCTCTTACTTCACGGCCCAAAACATTTGCATCGTTTCAATACATTGGAGACAATCATTGAAGAGCCG